TTATTTTGAAATAGCGTTCAAAAGAATGGGCGCGCTATTCTAATGTCCCTGTAAAGCTCGTTCCACAAGGATTAAGGGATGTTTCGGAATAGCACTCTATTTCAAAATTTGGTGCTGAATAGACAGCACCAAATTTTGAAATAAACTATTTTGAAAGTAACTCAATATAAGCTATGCAATTTGCGTAGCTCAAATTACTTATTATGAGATAAGGGTGCAGTGCAGAAAGACCCTGTGAGGAGCAAAACTTCTTCAATAAAGTCATTACACTGTTCATTTACTTTCCTTGCTACTAGCCTGCACTTCCTTTTTATATTGCTCCAGGCTGGTATCCTGGGAGACTAACAGACAACAGCTGTTTAGTGGTTCTGCTGGGTAACCCTTACCTCTCTCTGTGTAGAACCCCAAGATTATCTAACCTAGGGTATGTCTACACTACAGCGCTAATTCGAACTAACTTAGTTCGAATTAGTTAATTCGAACTAAGTTAATTCGAACTAACGCATCTAGAACTAAAAACTAGTTCGAATTAGCATTTTGCTAATTCGAACTAGCATGTCCACATTAAGTGGATCCTGAACCGGGGTTAAGGAGGCTGGAAGCAGTGCCAGCAGGGCATCAGATGACGCCTTAGAGCGTGGAGCTGCTGCCTCAGGCTAGCCGAGGGCTGTGCTTAAAGGGACCCGCCCCCCACCCCGGACAGACAGTTCTCAGTCCTGTCTTGGAGTGCCCTGAGTGCCCACACTGGGCACATCACAGCACTCGGCCATCAGACCGGCTGCATTTGCCGCAGGCTGCCATCTGGAGAGAGGAGGCCATTGGGGGGCTGCAGGAGAGCTTCCACCCCCAGAAGCCCGCAGAGCCAGCCCAGTCCTCCCCATCAGGGGCTCATACCCCATTCTTCCCTCACCTCCTTCCACTTACCCTTCCCTAGCCCCCCTTCCTGATGTACAAAATAAAGAAAACGTGTGGTCAAAAATGGAATCTGTCTTTATTGAACAAAACTCGGGGAGTCTGGGAAAAGGAGATGGGAGAGGAGAAGAGAGAGGCTGGGAGAAGGGAGGGCAACTAAAATGATCAGAGGTTTGGAACAGGTCCCATATGAAGAGATGCTAAAGGGACTGGGACTTTTCAGTTTAGAAAAGAGGAGACTGAGGGGGGATAGGATAGAGGTCTATAAAAGCACGAGTGGGGTGGAGAGGGTGCATACAGAAAAGTTCTTCATTAGTTCCCATAATAGAAGGACTAGAGGACACCAAAGGAAAGGAATGGGTAGCAGGCTTCAAACTAGTAACAGAAAGTTGTTCTTCACAAAGAGTCAACCTGTGGAACTCCTTGCTACAGGAGGCTGTGAAGGTTAGAACTAGAACAGAGTTTAAAGAGAAGTG